GATCAGGGAAATACAAACCAAAACCACAAGATACTACTTAACACATACTAGTATGGCTATAATAAAGAAGACATAATAAGTGTTGGCAAGAAAGTGGAAAAGTTGGAACCCCCATACACTGCCCAAGGAAATGTGAAATTATATAGTCACTTTGGAAAACACTCTGAAAGTTTCTTTTTTTTAAAAAATTAGGCTAAGAATAACTATATGAACCAATTCCATTCCTAGGTATACATAAAAGATCTTTGAAAACATGTCCACACAGACACTTTGTTCATAGTAGCATTATTGATAATAGCCAAAAGGTTGAATTATCACAAATGTCCATCAATGGAAAAATTGATTTTTAAATGTGGTATATCCATACAATGGAATATTATTCAGCCATAAAAAGTACACAAGTATTGGTGCATGCTACAATGTGGATGAACATTGAAAGCATTATGCTGAGTAAAAAGAAATCAGTCACAAAAGTCCACATACTGTATAATTCCATTTGTATGAAATGCTCAGAATAAGCAAATCTATAGAGACAGAGAGTAGAGTAATAGTTGTTTAGGGTTGGAGAAGGGGTTTGGGGATAAGTGGGGGTTGATTATTAACGGATACAGGTTTGTTTTTGAGGAGATGATAATGTTCTAATGGATTATGGTGCTATCTGGAAACATTATAAATATATTAAAAACAATTGAATTGGCCCTGGCCAGTGTGATTGGTTTAGTATCAACCCATGCATCAAAATGTTGCCAGTTTGATTCTTGGGCAGGGCACATGCCCAGGTTGCAGATTTCATCCCCTATCGGGTGCATACAGGTGTTTCTCTCCCTCTCTCCCCCTTCCTCTCTCTGTCTAAAAAAAATCAAAGATATTTAAATGTATGTATGATATAAATAAATAAGTAACCATCGAATTGTACACTTTAAATGGGTGAATACATGCTATATAAATTTTATCTCATAAAGCTGTTACTTTTAAGCAATGAAGGTGCTAGGAAGAGTTTGAGTCAATGAAGTACCTACCATAGTGTGGGGTAGTAAAAGTACTAGTAAGATGATGACAACCTGGGTAACAGAATGAAGTCAATGAGGGAAACTGTTCATAATACCCACAGCTGGAGTAGCAGAAAAGGAGTGAGGAAAATGGAATAATGCTTGTATGTTTGTTTTTTACCAGTTGCTACTTAATCTTCCTTACTTGAGTAAGTCTTTTGCACTGCTAATTCCATCCTGGATTCCCCTGAGATTTATTCAAGGTCCAAGCTTGTTAGGTATCAAAATTCTTTCCAGGCACTTTCTTTGACAGTTTAGTTTTCTAAAGCCTACTTAATGGAGACGACTAATCTGTTAGAGCAGATCAGGCCCACCAGATGGACACTTTATTTGGCAAACCCATCACTTTTGATCAGCTACATTTTCTCTGACACCTTCCCTGTTTGGCTCAAATGGAAGGAAAATAAATCATGCACCTTACTTTCCCATAAATTGTCACATTTAATCCTCATATCTCTTACCCATATTACAGATAAGGACACTGGCCTAAAGAGGATAAATGACTTTCCCAAAGTTGCTTAACTATCTGGTAAGTAGTAAAACTAGGATTCCAGTTATGGCCTAAACACATGTCCTTCCATCCTTCCAGCTACAATTATGCAGTGGGTAAGCCTTCAGAATGAAACTCCTTTTTTTTTAAGAATGTAATGCATTTTATTAACAGATTAATGGAGGAAATACCTATGATCAACTCTGCCAATACAGAAAAAAAGCACTTAATAAAATTCAATACTTATTCATATTTTTAAAAAATCTAAGACAAGAATGAAACTTCTTGAAGCAGCCTTTCCCCCTGGATCTGTTCCCCTGACGGGTACTTTCAATGCATTTGAAGCTGGAGTTTGTGTGATTGCTAATTTTAAAACAATGATAGCATTTACACATTAAACACTTCTCTAGCTCATTCCTTTGACAACCACACACCTAAGATTAGATACCAAACAAAGGTCCCTGTTACTGCTTGTATTTAATAATCTCCATATTTGAGAACATAATTTTAATAGACTTTTAAAGAGTATACAAAAGTTTTCAAAAGCAATATAAATTGGTAGCTCTATGCCACCACAGAACATATTAATACTTTAAAAATAAGTTTAGAAAAGATTATATTTACTTAATACAAACTCTCAGGTTATTTTCACATCACTGTCCCTACAATCAGCCTGGACCAACAAAGGCTGAGCTAAAACTTGACAGAGCTAAAGGTTCTAAGACACAGCTACACTTGTTTTGTCAACCATTATATATTTTTTTTAATTACAAAGGTAATGTGCAAAAATAATTCCATTTAAAACAAATTAAACAGTGCAGTGTTATACATAACAGAAAGTACAAGACAACCTTCACCAGGTTCTCCTGCTCTTACATTCATGTATATGTACGCATATCACATATTTTTTCAACAAACAGATGGAATTGTACAATATATATTGACCTACTACTCTTTTAATAGCTTTACTGAGTTATAGCTAACATACCATACCATTTACCCATTAAAAGTGTACAATTCAGCCGGGACCAGTTTGGCTCAGTGGATAGAGCATTGGCCTGCGGACTGAAGGGTCCTGGGTTCGATTCCGATCAATGGCATGTACCTTGGCTGTGGGCACATCCCCAGTGGGTGGTATGCAAGAGGCAGCTGGTCAATGTTTCTCTCTCATCGATGTTTCTAACTCTCTGTCCCTCTCAATTCCTCTCTGTGTAAAATCAATAAAATATATATATTTTTTAAAATGTATAATTCAGTCTTTTTTAGTATACTCATAAATAACATGTGCAACATATTATAAGATAAATTGTAGGATATTTTCATCACCTCAGAAAGAAACCCTAACCCTTAAACTATCAACCTTGTGTCCTCACATTTTCTCCAGCCCTAAGCAACCACTAGCCCACTTTCTGCCTCTATTGGTTTCCCTATTCTGGACATTTCATATAAATGAAATCATATAATTGGTGGTACTTTATAAACAGCTTTTTTCATGTAGTATAATGTTTTCAATGTTCATCCACATGTAGCATGTATCAGTACTTCATTCCTTTATACAGCCATATAATATCCCATTGTTTGAATATACCACATCTATCCTCTTACTTTTTTCATTTTATATAATATATCCATTCAGTGCATACAGATCTGTCTCTATTTTTTTAGCAACTGCACATTATTACATAGTTGACAGAACATAATTTAGGTAGCCATTTTCCTATGGATAGATAATTAAAGTATCGATACTTCCATTGTTTCTTCATTATAACATTAACTTATCTCCATATGATATAAGGGTTTCAGAAAGGGAGATGTCATCTGTCTTGGTGAATGGCAGACTTAGCCTCTAGAACAATGGTTGTAAAAGTATGTTCCTCAGACCTTCAGTATCACCTGGGAACTTACTAGAAATGCACATTTCTGGACTCTACCCCCCATTTTTTTTATTCAGAAAACTGGGAGTGGGGACCAGTTCACACTGTTTTAACAGCCATCCTCCTAGTGATTCTGATATGCACTAAAATTTGAGAACCGCTGCTTTAAATCTGTGTCATTTCACTGCAGTGGCTTTTATTATTTGGTTTAAAATACATTTTAAAAATTAGCAGAACCACAAAAATTGGCATCTACACATTACTATGATCATGGATAGGGCAGAAGTATAGTGGAGGGGTACATGAGTCTCTTTGTATTTTCTTTAGAGAAAGTACTTTAATATAACAAAAAGTCTTTCCTCTCATGCTTCTCCTATCTGCTTGACCCATTATTCTCTCCATCCATAGCTTTCCAAAACCAACAATTAAACCATTTACATAAACTGCAGATGCCAGGAAATAGAAATTGTTTCCTTCCTGAACCTCACATTTCTGATACCCACAGAACAATAAACTCTAAAACCCAGCTCCCATTAGAAACTGAAACATTGGGAAAATGTGATTTCACTGAATCACACAGATAGAAACTAGAAGGGAATTTAAAGATCTTCTAGTCAAGATCCATATTTTGGAATTAAGAAAAATGAAGCCCAGAGAAATAACACAGTAAGGCCACACAGCAAAGATAAGCCTATTTCCTCACTATGTTATCTATATATTAGGCTAATACTATACTTTATGCTATATATTGATTTATTCTTAATGGTTCTTGACAAACTATATACATGAAATTCACCTATTTTTTTAAAAATACATTTAGAAATATTTATTTTTCCTTATCTTGCTAAGCAGAGAACACTAATATAATTTATATTAGAAGACATTTATGAATATCCTGTATTATATTATTCTCTAACTCCGCAATGCCCGTAGAGGTCAAGGAGTATTCACAAGAGTCAGAAGTACTTGGACTCACGAAGTCCCAACGCTAAATAACTCCATATTAAAGTTCTATGTATTCTTTTTACTTTCTCTTGTTTTTTCTGTCCTCTCCTTTGATGTGAGTTATTACTTCTTACATCTACCAGTGTATTTGCATCCAGCAGTCCTCACATTGCCAATGTGAGTTGAGACATTAAATAAATAAAACCTTTAGAACTATGATAAAGGTGACAGTAAAATCAGTTGTGCGTGAAGAACTAGAACATTTAGGATAGAGACTTTGTGATATTTATTTTGGCTGCAATATAGTGGAAAGTTAATGTTGCCAGATACAACATTCTCTAATAAAGTGCAATGATAGCAAGACTTCCTTTGCACAAACAAAGCAAAGAATGGACTCTGGGGATTTTTTTTAACACCAGGAAGGTATGCATTTTTCTCCTCAAAGTTTCTCCTCTGTTGTTTGTTTGCTTTTTTTAAATTGATAAACCTTATTTTTTTAGAGAAGTTTTTGGTTCACAACAAACTTGAGCAGAAAGTACAGAGAGCTTCCATATAACCCCACTTTCAAGCGTGCCCACACCACACAAACCGCGAGTGCTTTATAAACCCATTAAACATTAGAAAAAGGACAGTTTAGAATACCTGTAACACCACAGAACTGTGGGTATTGCTGGTAAAGATGCGAGTTGCTCCTGCCTTGGAAGACTGCAAATGGGATGAGAGGCCCATTTCGCTGCTTCCAAGGGACAATTTCATGTGTTGGTCTTCCTCTTCCACAAGAGATCTAAAAATGTGTTTAAATCAGAAAAAGAGACAAATTAAAAGTTGTCATATAATTCACAATAATGATATTATTTCAAGAAATAATCTAGTACTAATTATCTGTCTATAGAATATACTAAATTTTGTTTCAATATAGTTTAAAAGGCTCATAGCACTCTAACATTATAGAAGAAAAACATTTTTAAAATATATTTTATTGATTTTTTTTTTTACAGAGAGGCAGGGAGAGGGATAGAGAGCTAGAAACATCGATGAGAGAGAAACATCGACCAGCTGCCTCCTGCACACTCCCTACTGGGGATGTGCCCTCAATCAAGGCACATGCCCCTGACCAGAATCGAACCTGGGACCCTTCAGTCTGCAGGCTGACGCTCTATCCACTGAGCCCAATTGGTCAGGGTGAAAAACATTTTTTTTTTTGCATAAAGCTTCCCAAGGTCAGTAAAGATAAATGAGAACTGGTAAAACAACCTACAAACTGGTTCAAAACTATAATCACAGAGGATTTCAGATTTTTTAGTGTCAGAGTAATTGCTTTTAGTATTTATTTCACTGTGTAGGTAGCAATACAATCAAATTATGCTATTCACAGTTAAAATAAATTTGGAATACCTACTTCTAGAAAGATTTTTTAAAATCTCTCATTTATTGAATAGTCACTATGCATTAGGCACTTGCCAAGAAATTTACACACATGATCCTTAAAAATATCTTTTAAAATATCCATTGCAATAGGTACTCTGATTGTCCTTTTTATTAAGTATAAGACAAATGAGCTATAAAAGGGTTAAAAAATAATTGGCCTAAGGTCACAAAGATTTTTAAGTGGTTGGGATAAGATTTGAATGTAAGTCTAGTCTTATTCTAAACTCCAACAGCCCCATTAATAAAAGGCAAAGATTAACCTTGATACATCACAAGATTATTTCCTCTTTTGTTGTTATAGTTCTAATCAACCCAAAAGGAACAAAAATGTTTGCATGTTAAAATATTTTGTTTTCTAGCAATATCTCTTACATCATTTGGGGATTATTTAGATAAACAGCTATAGTGTAGTGCCATTTCATATTTTTTTAAAGAAGCAATAAAAATAATAAATACAAGTTATATCCATGTATATTATATCAGCAATTTTTAGGGGCGATAAAAAAAGATTTTTTAAAAGGTTGAACAGCAGTCAGTAGAGAATATATCAAAATATTTCATAGCTATCTCAGGTAGGTTACACTAAAAACAGTCATCATGATACAGCCTTTCATTATTCTTTAGACCAGGCTGGCTGTGTTTCGTTGGGTATACATTGTTAAAATTGTCTCTAAATCTCCTGCCTAAGGAGCAGGGAGCTCATGGCTCTGAATGGGTTTGTGTATTCATAATGTAGATTGCTAAAATTGACATTAGAAATCAGGAAGGAAGAATGGATTTTCAAGTCTAGAACTCTGCAATTTTCCCACTTATCTGAAATGTTGAATTATTTGTAATACTAATTCCAGTCTATCCAATATCATAAAGATTTCACTTTTTTCCTTATCATACCTATAATCTAATTTGATCAGTTTTAACGAAAAAGTTTTAAAACTCTACTGGGCTTTTCATAAAGATCCTGCTTTTTAAATTCTGATACCAACCAGCAATAATTAGCAAAATTTCTGACCTTGAGGGTGACATCAATTTTTCTTAATGATATTAGAGCCACAGTATAATAAAAATGAATTAATAATACAGTACCATGTTTTATTCAACTCTCATGGATATTTAATAAAGATAATAATTTAAATAAAAATTTAACAAGCATTAAAGAAAATGAATATAGCATTCCTCTATTTTCAGAAATAGCTTTAAAAGAATTAAAGTATATACAGGATATATACCATACACACATTCACACACACTTTTAAAGAGTTTTTGCAAAAGATTTTAACATTACAGAATCAACTGGAAAAATGGGTAATAGAAAGAAGGTGAGTAGTATCCTTAACCAGAAAATTTCCATTCAACCAGAATTATTTTAATGGGATATTCAAGCAGAATGTCTTATTATTTTCTGATTCCCTGCCCAGAACCTTGCACACAAGAGGTTTAATATATGTCATTTGCATGAATGCAGAGTCTAATTTTTGTGGATCATTCCAAAGACATCTCTTCATCTTGCAGTGCTTTAAATGACCATTAATTATCATTTTTATATAACCACAGATATAACTGGGACAGAAGTATAGCTAAAACCACATTGCCTCTATGACATATTCTGAAAATTGCTTTTAAAAAATAAACTACATAAAACAATTGTTTACTTGCCATTTATTTCTTGCTCTTAAAACTGAAAAGCAGAATATAAACATACAGCCCTTTCTTGGCAAGATAATACTACTAACTTTCTAATTAATTACTTCAAAAGCTGAAGAAACCTTCAATAAATCATCTTCTTCATGACTTTTATCAATATCGTTTGACTTTTTAACATTCAGAATACTCCATATTATTTCTGCATCACTACATGCCATGTCAACCTTCTCAGCAGATTCAATATTCTCTTCTCTTTTCCATTAAGTTTGATGGATGTGGAGAGCACTGGTCTTCAACACTGCAAGGATGTGAAATCTCTCTACAACCCCCAGGTCACAATTCTATCAATCTATCCTTAGAGGAATTATTACCTGAGTGATTACAAAAACAAATAGCATTTTAAATCATTTTTTCAAGGCATATTGTTAAAAGCAATATAAAGACCAATGGTTCTCAATAAGGGGAAGTGGGCCAAAAGGATGTTTGCCTCCCCTCCCCCATGTTTGGCAATGTCTAGAAACATTTTTCATTGATGCAAGGGGGAGGGGTTGTATCTAATGGGATGTTGCTAAACAACTCCACATCAAAAATAACAAATGTGCCAAGGTTGAAAAACCCTGATACAGAGGGATTAAGATCCTCAGGAAAAATTTTCTAAAGCAATTTCATGTTCTAAATAACTTCCCAGCGAGAGATGAATCCAGGAGGTAATGCTGGCAGTAAGAAATAGAGTAAGATTATTAATTGCAACTCTTCCAAGACCAAGACTACCTAACAATAAAATGCCTCTGTTCTTTCTTGGCAAGACAATATGGCTGGCTTTCACATTATTAATTAATGGCCCATCAATTTGAAAAGTCAAGTGTTTACAGTAGAAAGGTAGATAATGGCTTTGAAGTTTGTAAGAATTATTCAGGAAAGCTTTTGTTCCATATAAACTCATATAAGAATAATAAATTCTGCTTAAAACAATTGTTATTTGGATTCACTTTTACATGCTAATTTAGAATCAAGCAAATACTGCCCAAATAATTCCATGAGCACTATAAAATTTATCACAAGAGAGATTGTATTCATCAATTTTTTTTCTAAAAATCAAATCTTTTTCCTACAACATCTGTATATTGCCACCAGGTCACACGCACCCATCACACCAAGACTGAACACATCTTATTTTCTAAATAATGACCAACCACAGAGTGCAAAAGCAATCTTTCACAAAGTATACATGAATAAGCGAAATGGGCTTGCTCAAAGAGAACAATTACTTTTTCAAAGAGCACTGTCTGATCGTTTCACTGAAAGCATTGCAAAGGCGGTCAAACTGAACATACACACTTTATGGCATTTCTTTGTACTGCTATTTGAAGACAAAAGAAATAGGAAGTCTAAGCAATTGACATATGTTAATAGGATGATATTAACATTGTAAGCTTACCTCAAAAACTTCCATATTTTAAAAATTACTCCCAAGGAAAACGTGTAAATGATATGAGCAGAAAATTCATAAAGATAAAAGTACAAATGATTAACAGAAAAATGTTCAACCTCATTAGTATTCCAGAATATGCAAATTAAAGCAAAGATTCCATCTTTGAATATGTAAAGTTATCAAAAAAAATAAGAGTGGAAGATATACTCTCAACATTGCTAATACAAACATGTATTAAGCCCATGCTGTCTGTATGGCTCTGCTCACCCAAATGGATTTTTTAATGGAAATTTCAAAACCATCAAGTGTACAATCATTTTCCTTTTATACTGAACACCATGACAATGTAGGATTGTGTATTATATGTACAATCTGGTAGGTGGGCTGTAGCAAAAGTCCTCTGTCAACCTGGTTCAAATATGTTTTCTACAATGAATAGTTCTATAAAGGTAATAGTTTAGCAGGTACTCTATATAGAATTGTAAACACCTAGAATTCACTATAGTAATCTTGTTTGGTGGCATGCTATTTGGGGAAGGGAAGAGTATTATACAATTTTATCACTTGGCCTCAAAGTTTCAAATCCAATAGTCATCCATCTACATATCAAAAAAATTAGTCCTGTAAAATCCACTGAAATTAGTACTTTGTGTTTAAAAAATAAGTTATCACCGGGACTGGTTTGGCTCAATGGATAGAGCGTCAGCTTCGGGACTGAAGGGCCCCGGGTTCGATTCCGGTCAAGGGTATGTACCTTGATTGCGGGCATATCCCCAGTAGGGGGTGTGCAAGAGGCAGCTGATCGATGTCTCTCTCTCATTGATGTTTCTAACTCTCTCTCTCCCTCCCTTCCTCACTGTACAAAAATCAATAAAATATATTTTTAAAAAAATAAGTTATCAACTTCAGAAGTCATAAACTGCACACTTCAAATTCTTGATTTCTATAATTTCAAGCATCAGTTTAATACTATACAGAAAGGCAGGTGAGGTCACATTTCATTATCAATGAAAAGAGGACATTTTAGTGCTTTTTAAAATTAATAGCATGAAAACACATGTAATGCTTGCCTTTTCATGCTAGAGAAGTTATATGTGTGTGCATGCTATGGTATGTTAACTTCTTACATACCAATGAAGAGCAGCACATTAACAGTGCTGTGAATAAAATATGCTAGTAGGAGCTGTATACACTCAGAAAAAAATACAGATTAAGCCTATCAAAGTATTTGTCATGTTATTTTCTTGACTTTCCTGTGTTTATGTTAATTTCTGAAGGGGAAA